CTCCCTCGATTTTCTCTCTCCCTTTTTGCTGTTTTTCTTTTCTCTCCGCCACTCTCTCTTGTTCCCCTCTTCCTTGGCTGCCTTTGCAAGCCTTTTTATAGGAACCAACTCTCCTAAACCCTCACCTCAAGGGTGAGGATGAGAGTTGGGTTTCTTGGGCAATTTTGAAGCCATTAGATGGCTTTTGCTCCAGGAGATTCCTTGATGATTCGGATGGTGAGGTGGCAAGAGATTTAAGGAGCAAGAAATCAACAGAAAAAATGAGTGGAATGGGTTCCAAATGCCAGCTGCAAAATTGTGTATTGATTCCATGGTTTCTTCGTACGAAGAAGAAGAAACCAGCGTGCGTGTGTTCTCTTCTTTTTTTTTTGAGGTCAAATTGCATTTTTCATTTCCCCCCCTTTTTTTTCTTTTTCTTCTTCCTCTCTTTTCAGCTTTTCTTTTTCCGATTTTTTCTAAGATGATTTTTCTTAGGAAATAGAAATAAATAAAAAATAAAATGATAAAATTTTGATGTCTACAACTTCAGTTTAGAAGCATTAAAAGGGATGAAAATCCTGTTAGGAGTCTTTATGAGACTATAAAGTGGACTGATTGTGATTTTGACTTGTATACTTTACTTTGGGATCAATGTGAATCAAACCACACTACACTTTTATATCATCGTGGAATTCATGTCGATGAAGTACTAGTATTTGTAATTGTAGAAGTCCTACATTATTAAATAACATAAAAGCATTTACAGTTCAGTACAAGTACTTTCATTCGACGGAATTCTGGACTGAGATGTTTTTTCAATGGCCACTATAGTAATATTTAGCCTAAACCTTTTTTTTAATGTTTTTTTTCTTTTTCTTTTCAAACTTAAATTAATTAGTGTTGTTCAAGTTGGAGAATGTTAGAAATATTTTCTTTATTTGGGCTACAACTAATTATTTATTTTATCAAAACGGGTTACATAAGACCAGTAAAGCCCATTGTAACGCCATCCACTAATGTTTGGACCTAGGTCTATCTCAATCAAACTATTTGGATCTGGTATGTAAGGTGTAGAGCCTATATTCAATAGGGTTCCTTAATGGGAGGACCCAATTCCAAAACTAGGGTTATGTCTCTCTGTCCCATCTATAATACTACAACCTATAAATATAGGTTGTTAGGAGTGGTTTGTCCTATTGAGAGCCACCATATAGAAATTGGAGAGGGGAAGGGAGTAGCAAACCTAGATACGTGAACCTTAAAGTATGGCATGGATTCATTGAGTGGATTTGTCTCTTCTTCGCAATATTGTCAAGATTCAACACAACTTTGTCAAGATTCAATGGTTACAAGTAACGGTACGCTTTTATGTTTATTTCTCGTATTCAATTCCTTGGTATTGAGGATCGGTGATCCCAACAGATAGCATATAGAGCAAAGGATGTTCCCATTATCGCGATCCAGAGCCCATGCAAATCCGCTTTTTTGGACAGCCACAACGACATCTCGTTTGGTACCATTAAATTTGAAAGTTAGCATCAATGGTGCCTCCCCAAAATCAGCATCTGGGTTTGGTCCAGGTGGGCTATTAGGGGTTGACAAATTTGCACAAGCCACGAACCAGACATCGTAACCTCCAAGCTGATTGTACCACTTGATTTTGCTAGTTTCCGTGTCTAGTGCCATTACGGAATTTGACTGGCTATCAAGCTCAAGGCACTCACCAGGATTTGTTGGAGTAGTCTGATTGTTTAATCTTTCTTGACATTCTTCGATACGTGGGGGAGCTAAGTACAGATTTCCAATGGCAATGTATACATGATTTCTTGGAGCATCAATTGGTGGGCTGCTTTCCCATATTGCTGCTCCTGCATAATCTCTCCGGTTCCCATGGTTGTCTGGCAAAGTGAAAGTCTTCCATAAGATCCTGCCGTTTTGAGCATCTAACTTGATGAAGCTACCACAAAATATGCAGCATTCTTCTATCATAGTGCCTTCTTCTAGTGAAAATACTCCTACATAGAAACCTCTACCACCAATAAAAGGCTAAAATTTAGTATTGACTGCTACGTTTACAGTTACTATGAGTTTATTTACAATCATCATGTAAACAATAGCAATGAAAAATATCGCCAAATATTTGACTCAAAAACTAGAATACTGCTCCCAACAAATTAGTAGACAATCCTAACTTTGTTCTTCCGATAAGGTCCGGAATTAAATGGTGAGACCCAGTGGTAGAGTCAGGACCTTTGTTCAGGGATACAATCATATTAGTTTAGGTTTATAAGGTGTGGGTTTGTAAATTTTGGACCAACTAAATGTTTGATAAAGTAAATTAAGTCATTCAAAATTACAAAAAATTTTAAAAATTGTCTACAGCTTGAGATTTATTATTTTCCAAATCATCTAATTGTATAAAATTGTATAGTAATTAAAATTATGCCTAAGAATACAAGATGTAAACTTCTTTAAACATATATAGTAGGTGAATAATTTGTACACAATCAAATTATCAAATAAATGTTTGATTAGCTTGTAATTTAATTATATGAAGTGGACATTTATGAAGCGTCCAATATTAAGTAATAATAGTTGCTTTAATAAAATAAATACATAACATTTAATAGAAAGGAAAAAAAATAGCAACATGTAATATATTTTAGTTCTAGGTTCCCCATTGTGGAAATGGTGAGGACAATTATTAAAAATTTAAATACTTTTGGGGGAACAATTTTGGAGTTAGAGGGAATATTATCAAAATTTGAGGGGGAGAGAATGGGACAATACTAAAATTTTTAAAATTTTTATAGGCTATTTTACAGTTTCCAAAAAATTGAGTTGCACACCTTGACTGTACCTAACTCTGCCATTGGTGAGGCCCGTTGCTGACTTTGTTGTAGCCTGTTAGCTCATTCTACATAGATTATTTATAGATGGTAAGAAGAAGACCAAGTATGTTTGACAATTGCATGAGAAAGTCTACATGAACATTGAGCAGAGGACTAAGCAATACATGCAGCAAGTTAACAAGTTTCGTCGTAAGATGGTCTTTGAGTCTGAAGATCGGATTTGGTTGCAAATACGTAAAGAACGTTTTCCAGTTCAACAGCATAATAAGTTGCTCCCTAATGGAGATGGACCATCAAGTGTTGGAACATGTTAATTAGAATGCTTATAAGGTTGAACTACCAGGTGAGTATGGTGTTAGTGTAGCATTTAACGTTTTTGGTTTAAGTCTTTTTCTTGCAGATAATGTGCTTAATTTGTGGATAAATCATTCTCAAGAAGAGAGAAATGATGCGGACATCCAAGCTATCAATGGTTCAAGTGATGATCAAGTTCGTGTTTTGGTTAGACCTGTGACGCGAGTTTGAGTTAGAAAAGTCAATGAGTCACTTCTAGTTTTGATTTGAGTTAGAAGGCATTGGTCCCAAGAAGGAAAACCTCTATGCACTTATTCAAGTTCTAGAAGATATTCACACTATAAGCTGCAGGCACGTCTTGTGATGCGTTTCTTGTGACTAGAAGCAAGATTTTGGGCAGAAGATTTTACCGGTGTTAGAAGTGCCTGCGTCTTATATCCAGTTTCGGATTTTAAAATGAAGTGTGCCTACATATTTGTATCTTCTTTTCCTTTTTAATTTAGAACTTTTTAAATGAATCGAAGTCTAATTCAAATTTGGCTAGAGTAGGGATACTTGGCTATATACATGCTGCATTTATTGTCAGAAAACGGTAGATCTTTTTGAGCAATAAACAAGAGTTTTCCCTTGAGTTCTTTGTGAACTTTTCTTGTATTCATTAGAATGTGTCTCTATGAACTTATCATTCAAGAACTGCACTTAATTGTGGCATTATCTAACTTTATACCAAGGTTCGATACACAAGTTCATATCGAGTTGAGGTTGCCGCTGCCAAACTATCGATACCTTGACGTAGATCCTAGTGCTTATCTTATACGGGTTTTGTCAATCGTTGACCGGATTTGTATTAGAAAGGGGTGATAGGGAGGTGGGGGAGGAAGGTGTTAAAGAATTGGTGTTGATAATGGTGGTCCAACAGGGAAGACCTTGAAGGATCGGATCTTTAATTAGGAATTGGTCCGTCCTTATTAATTGAGCCAATTTGTATTGTCACTGTTAAATTCTAAATGCTCCATTGAAATTCTGAGGATTTTGTGGATGAGACAGTGAGAGTCTATTGTGGCAAATTGTGCACCTCTTAGTTTATGGGTGACCCTATAGATCGAGTCTATACAAGTATTTGCCTTACAAAATTGGATTCATGTATTATAATTGCGCAAATTGTTTTCCCCTAGCTGAGTCTTTTTTTTTTTTTACCTTTTTAATTATTCGTCCCTTTAGATACAATTAGAAACTTGTAATCTTCTTTTTACATCAATGATGGAAAGAATTTAGCAAAGTGCAACGCCAAAAAGTGAAACAAAGGAATTTCTCGAGTGCCCAATCCCTATCCATTTAATCATGTATAGGCTCTTACATGGGCACTAAAAAAAACAGCAAAATCACATAACATCAAACACATAAATATAAAAAACAGTAAAAAAAAGAGTAGGAAATCAGATTGCTTATTTGTATTTGATCTCTTGAGTTAGAATTGAAGTTCTCTTTGCTTCTGATATACGAATATATAAGCACCTTTCTGCTAGTTCCTAGGACAATAACCTCTAACAACATGTGTTTGTTGTTTGTCCATCTTTTCTTTTTTTTTTTCTTTCCCTTTTCTTTCCCAATTTTATCCATAGTTTTCCCGTTCGTGTAGAGGTGCCATCTTGAGCTTGAAACGTCTCTCATTGCAAGCAATTCAAACATAACAAAGAAGATCCTGAAAGGTAATACACGAAGTAGCCAGGCTGATATGATTTCATTTGTGAATTTACTTTAGCGCCCTGGAAAGAGTAATTAAAAAAAACGTTTTGCACTCAAGTTAGAAGTGCTTCCTTATAGTATATGTAAGACAAAGACAAAAACAAAACAAAACAAAACAAAAAGAATTACTCTTTATGAAGCACATGCTGAATATCGACTGCAACAATTTTAAGCCGTGCTATTTTGCACTCAAAAAAACCAGCTCTGAACATGTTACAGCAATACATTACCCCCGATGGAATTTGACAAAAGAAGTTTAGTTACAAAACATCATTACTACAATAGGATTTCTATCACTAACATCAGTAATATCAATCTTTAGCGTCACAAATATACAATAGATTCAAAACGATGTCTCCACAAGCTAACAAAGCTGTCGTTCGCTCGGAATATGCAGAATCATGCAGAGATCCGCTTCCATTAACTGAGAAGCCGCAAAACAATTTATCAGTCAACCAATCTCCCAGAGATCACAGAAACTAGACACACGCAAACAAAAAGTCCAACTAAAAAAGACAATGCCACCTATAATAATGTTGGAATGCGGGAGATTACAATACAAAGTATGATGTAAACAATACCTATTCTCCAAATCAAGGACGGCTTGCCTCATTGCGTAGTATGTCATTTTCTTGACCTGTCCCGAAAGGAACCCCGCAGGCAGTTAGACACTGTTTTTCAACATACGTCACTTCATATAAGACAAATGTTTCTGATTATATATACCCTCACAGTTTAGGACGAAATACCCTAAGTCACAAGTAGTCGAGCTAATGATTAAGCATATGAACTTGAAACACATGAGCAGAGCCATGGGCTAAATACTCTGGTTATGAATGCGGAGTTGTTGCTTTTCCAAGTAGAAACAATGAATTTGGTCTTAACAAATGCAAGAAAAAGATACGTCAAGCGAAACTGAAAATGCGGATCGAACCAGTAATAGCTATCTAACAATTTCAAAAAGTCGTTTTGGTAGGCATATCAGCAAACTATTAGGTTAAGTGTCCGTCATGCTACCACAAAAAGTGTAGTTCAGTAAAACCCATTCGAAAGCAAGCAAAGGTCACACATCAAAAATGAAAAATCAAAATCCGCCAAAAACAATTACAGCAACAGGCAAAGACCAAAAGCTCAAAAAGGAATAGCCAAAATGAATAGGCTAATTATCAGGTTCATACCTCCAACTTGTCTTCCTTTACTCTATGGTTCTGAGGAAGTACACGGAATTCTTCAGTCATACGGAAACACTCACTAACATTTTCAGGTGAGACAAAGTCAAGGGCAACCTTTATGCAAGACTGGGAAAAAAATTAACCAATCGCATTAGGGAACTGATCCTTCAATACAAAGCGAAAAAAAAAAAACAATTCCGGCATATGCAAAACAACCTATTATATAAAGTGAACTATATGTGCGGACCCCATGAACTGACATAGTATAATACGAACCATGACCTGATAATTCTTCAGTTCAAGTTTTACTCAACTAGCATGCCAAATTGGTTCAGTCCCAATTTTGCTCAACTAACATTGCCAAATCGGTTCCGTCACTGGTCAAACTCCAATTTTAACCAGTCTGCTTAGGTCATGGTCTAGATAAATCAAACTCTTATACTTTTCACAACTCATTGGTCAGTAAACCATCTAAATAGAGGGAACAACCTTTGCATAGTTTAGCCCTTGAGAATTATGCTGGAGAGAACTTTGCTACCAGCACAGTTGCTTGTTAAAAATCGAAGCATGCATGCATGCTATCCCTTGATCAAAACCATCATGGTGCATGCATTTCTAGCATGAATTAACCAAATTTTGCTAGTAAGTGAACAACAAATTTTTGGTCCCAAAAGATGTGGTGGGCACATTTGTAAGTAGAATAGAATCAAAGCGTGTATAACTCGGGATGTATCAAAAGCAGAAGCATGAGAGTCTCAATTTAACGACGGGACTGAAACTAAAATTTCAGGATATCATTTTAAAGAAAAAGGATTTCAGAGTGAAACACACAAATCTCTGGTTTGTACTCCAGATTAACAGGGTGGGAACAAATCACAGGTCAAAGAAAATAATATTAGTGGCAGCACAGAAATTGCGAGTCTCAAACTGAAAAAGCTGTGGCCACAAGATATTCTACTTTATTTTCTTTCTTTACTTTGTTCAGTGCTTGCTGAATTCTTCTGACATTGGCTCTATTTGTAATTTCAAACACTGCCAATTAATGCCATGTGACCTTCAAGCCAAACCTACTGCTGCTGTCCACCAGACACCACAAACCACCACAAAAGGATACAAGATATTAACCTGAATTTTTGGTATATTTATTTTATGTCTAGTTTTGTTCTAGCTCATTCGCTTTTGCTTGGGGTGCTTCTTTTGTTTAAACATTCAAGCTGCCATTAAGATGTTTGGGTTGGAGGGGGTCGGTGAAAGACAAAGCTATAGTTGGCTTTCTTGTTTCTCACTATCCCAACCCTATTTAGAGAGTTGTAAGCTTCTTCGGAAGAGTTTATGAACAAATATTACTCTAAATTCAGTAGTTCATATCTGAAAAATTTTTAAATAAAAAAGAAAAGAAAGAAAGAAAGGGCTGGGAAGGAGAATTTTGGAAAATTTACTCGAAAACTTTTCCTACAATTGCAAACCAACAAAACTTTACAAATGTACTGATCTAACTTCACGGCCTAACTTTGTGATGTTATCTTCATTATTTTCACATATCATAATTAGCTGCATCAAGTTCTTTGGGAGATTAGCTTTCGAAAAATGTAGAGTCCAAAAGGAGCTGAAATTTTATTTACAAGTCGAAACTACAAGGAAGAAATACAAGTTTAGTACCATACAAAATCGACATAAGACCAACTAGCCCTTTAGCTTCTGACCTATTACCACAACACCCTGAGAAACAAAGAATAGTAAACAACCACTTTATAGGGCTGCAAAACAGTAGTATTTTCCTGGGTCAACATAAGACCAACTAGCCATTTAGCTTATGACCTATTACTATAACACCTTGAGAAACAAAGAATAGTAAACAACCACATTTTTGAGTTCCATTGGGTTCCCACTCTTAGATGGATGCCCAAACAAAGGCTTCCCATTCACCTAAAAGTGGAAGGGGTTAGACATGAACCCTGACCTATTTGTTAAGTCATTTACAATAGAGCTAGAAAGGACAACCTCACCTCCTAATTTCAACAAGGTTTGGCATAATTAAATTTGAAAGTTTCTAACAAGTATGAACAATCTTAACATGGTACACAATGATATCAAGAAGGATTTTTAATTCTTAGCTTAAAAACTTGCCATTTTAGAATCATTTTACTAGTATTTAAATATGCATTAGGCCTTTTGGACTTCTTTAAAATCATTGGGATAAACTAATGTTCTACATATTCCACGTATTTATTGCATTTTGAGTGATATTCTACATATTTTTATCTTTGTCATACTGTGGTACACTTGCTTAGTTACCCACAGAAGATGGCAAGTCTAATTTCAACTCAAGAAGGTTTGCAGAAAACTTTGCTAGGCTGTATGATCTTTGTCCCAATAATGGATCTCGTAAGCACAGGGTTTACTTTATGATTTCCTCCGTTAAACTCTTCTAATATATCTTTCAATTGTGAGCTATCTGGGGTTTTACTAGGCTACTTGTGCTTCTTTCTAAGTTTGAGAATGGTTCACTATTAATTGCTAGGGATGGTAATGGGGTGGGGGAACCCTCCCTTGTTGCACCACTCCCCACCCCCGCCCCATCCCTTGCTTCCCTAATCCCCACAGGTGACCTACGGTTGGCTAACTACAATTTTTATCTTTTATTTTGACATTGTTTCTCTACATACTCAATATCAATAATGGCTTTATAAATCGGTCTTTTAGATTTTCAACTAAATATTTAATTTGAAATCAAGCTTAAAAGTCATTTTGATCTTTTATTTAGTTCCACATATAATAGCAAACCTCAACTTATAAGCACTATATATATATATAGGTTAAAAAAAGCTACAATAGTGAAAAAATTCAAGTAAACTAAAAATAACCAAATCATCATGTTATCACACAAATTATGATATTATTATTTTTCAAATTATAATATATATGCATATATTATTTACATGTAATTATAGCGTGTGTGTGTATTTACTTTTTCAAATTTATTTTATTGGCGGGAGATAGGGCGAGGGATGAGGTGGGGGTATCCTCCCTTGTCCCCTGCCCCATTTAAAGAGGGGGGAGAAAATTCTCCCCAGCCCCTGCACTTCCCCACCCCCACCCCATTACTCCCCCTGCAGGACAGGCACAACCCCATTGCTATCCCTAGTAATTCCTACTCTTGCCTTTTTCAAAGAGCTCCAACTAAATCCAAACAATAGGGTTTGCTACTACTTTGCAACACTAAGTGATACCTCACATGCATCCTTGCTTCCTTTTCGAAGTCAATGTATGATGGAGTATCACAATCCAATTATAATCATAATAATGTTGTGCCAAACTCGTGCAGTAATATCACTTTGTAATTTTCTATTTGATGCATGAAATCTTGTTAAACTCAAAAACAATTTCAACAGACATCATTTTGTTCTTGATGAGAAGCAAACTCTTCACTTTTGATTCAGCCCTTCCACACATTTGTGTTCTACAAAACTTCTCGAGATGAGATCATAAATCGGAGCTGATATTGACATTCCCATTTTTGCTAGGAAAGAACATCGTCCCATCTTTTATTCAAAAGTCAAAGGAGTGCCATTGAAGTATAGGATAGTGTGAGTATCGATTTTCAAAAAGAAACTCAAAGCTGGACATATGCATCAAGCCCAGAATACATTTATTTGAACCACACTGGATGCTCTGGGAGAGTTTTAACACATCTGAATAGACACAATCTACATCTTCAAACTAAACATTATATTTCAAATCAACAAAATTAGACCTTTTGTCAAACACAACTCAAGATTACAATAAAGGTCATATCCTGTCCCAACTAAAATGACTTCTTAGCTCCACCTTACGAGGACAGAAAAGCTGTAGAAAAGCGTGACTTCAAAGGTTCTTCTTCAAAAAGGTCACACTTATTTCGGATATTAGATTTGAATCTCCTATTCAAAAAAGCCATGAACTTCTTGATGGGTTCATATTCAACTGAACAAGCAGAAAGGAAAATAAGAAATTCCTCTAGCAGGATCACTAACAGCAACATATAAACCTGTCACTCAGAAGGGAAAATATGCACAATGCAGATTCATTTGATCAAATGGACAGAATACTGACAAAGAGGCATATCTTTCCTTCTCCCAGTCTCCACATCTAGCAAATGCTAGAATAAAAGATGCACTGTTAAGACTGCCATTATCACATGAGAAGTCTTGGGAGAAAAGCTAAAGGAGAGACTATCCAAGGGTAATGTTTTCATGACAAAAAGGAGCACTAAATTAGCACAGTCCTGAGAGCATCGTACAAAAAGTAACAAATGATTTCAATAACTACAAACAAATTCCGGATAACTAACTTTTAAGCAAGGCGAAACAAATGAATTATTGGAAACAGATTGATCTAAAGATTGCAATTGTCAGATGCCTCCCAAACAACCAAGTTAGATCAAAGTTATCATCTTGGTTTCTAATCTTCCATTTTCCACAAAATTGGCATCTTATATTCAACCTCACTGCAGGAATCTCAAAGTTATCATTTAAAAAAACTTTTTTTTTTCCATTAGCACAAAGGTTATCCAACATCACTGCTGGAATCTCAAGTTGCATGGCTTGAATAATAAATAAACCAGAAGAAAATCATACACGTTGGAAGATAATAACATCAAAAGAGAAAGCCCGCCCTGCGTTTTGTGTATTATAAACGTCAGGGGACAAATTCGGCAACTACATGCTAAAGCCTAAAGCTGGCTACAGGCTGTGAACTATAAGCCACATTAGCAGATCAATTAAATATGGAAATGGCAGACATTTAATTCAACTGATCCCTCTCTCATGACTACACCTTTCCAGAAACTGTGATCTGCAGATGAGATTTTGGCTAGCAAAGGTCCTTGGGTCCATAACTTACCTCTTAAACCAATGTAAGCACCATAAATTAAGCAAAAAGGATCTAGCCTAGTTGAAGTACATCAAGAGTCCATCACAGACAAAAAAGAATCACCATCATGCCTGGCTACTAAACACTTTATATAATGTCATGAAGCATCTATACCATGAGAGGACCATAGTACACCATCTAAAGTACATGCTTTTGTTGCGATGAACAACAAATAATAGCCCAAAAGATCAGAAGTGGCGGCTTTTTTTTGTGGTGGTGGGGGGGGGACACCATTGTAAGCATCTACAAGTTGTGAACACAGCATAGACATGCTCAAGTCGTATGGTTTATCCTCAAAAACTTGCATCCCAATACCAAACCAATCATTCAGTCAAATCAAATCCAGCCATTACAAACTTCAACATCATTGCTTGATCACCAAATACACATTTCTAGATACAAAAAGGATACAATCTCCTTCCTTTGTAACCTATAACTCATCTATGCACTTGATTGGAATTTACTACATCCAAAACCCATGTCTTGAAGAAATTTCAAGAGCATCTAATTACTATACACATTTACCAACTATACCAAAATGATTTTGAATATTACAATTAGCAACTCTATGTTGTGTAGTTATAAAAGCTGATACAAGCTGTTTGAATTTGAATCATGATCAATGAACAAGAAAAGTAAATTGTTTCTTGGCTAACTATAGTGTGATTAAGGATGTCTTCTGCTCATAACTTAGCCATTTTTTGAAAAATGAATATGCATAAAAGTAAATGCTTTCAGTAAAGGAAAAAGGAAAAAGCTTAACAAGATAATTCACCTTCAAATTTCTGACTTGATGCGGACAGCCAGCAGGTACATAAACAGCATCACCTAGTTTTTGAATGAAAGTCCATGGTTCAATACCTATACAACCATATAGAACCATGATTAATAATGTGCAGCAAAACTAACCAGATGTCACAATAACTACAATGAAAAGCTAACCGTATTCCTCTTTGAGCTTCCTCTTATGTTCCATGGTTAAGTATATAGTTTGATCATGTATTGGGTGAACCACCTGGAATAAAATATGGAGATCTAAATCAGTAATCTCATTTACTTAAGCAGCTTAAACTCAATTACTTCGATGGAATGCTGTAACTGCTAGCATGGCTAAACAATTGCTGCTGAAATTTCATACTCTACCTATAATTCAGTGTAATGACCATTATAATGGAAATCTCAAAAACATAAAAGGCAGGAATATCCCTAAACGACCATAAACTAACTTGAAAATATATCAAGCATTCAGCAAAAGGTTCAAACTATTAAAGAAAAAAGCAAAAAAATTAGCTGATCAAACCAAAAGATAACTTTTTGGCATGAGGTATATATACATCTATTCTAGTAAAAAGACTGCAAATGTTTTCAAGGTTCAAACTATTAAAGAAAAAAGCAAAAAATTTAGCTGATCAAACCAAAAGATAACTTTTTGGCATGAGGTCTATATACATCTATTCTAGTAAAAAGACTGCAAATGTTTTCAAGGTATAAAATTTTACAAAGACGCCAATTGCATCAAATATCTAAATCGGAGGAGAGGACAAGTACAGATGTTTGTCTTCCTTTTCTAGATACTGAGGCTAGTTCCATAAGTAGAAGACGAACTAGGAGAAAAAATAGCATGTATGGTCAACATGTAAAAGCATTATTCTATGCCCAGTTGACATGAAACTGCAAACCACAAGATAAGTTTAAAGAAGATACATTTTGCAAATTGGTAACCACCTGTTCTAGTGGACGACAACAGACATGCCTGAATTCCTTAAAGTGTTTCATCAGATATTGTTCTAATTTAGGCACATCTTGCCTCCTGAATATGTCCCACAAAGCACCACTGTCCACATCTGCTACATTGTTTCTTAACACTTCAACAATTTCTTCCCTTTTCCACTCATCCAATTTTCCCCCTCTACTTGTTTCATCAGATTCAACTGTACTTTGCACATCCACAAATTCAAGCTCAATATCACGACTTCTCTGAACTTCCAGTGAGATTGGAGAATTTTGATTTTCCTGATCAACATTTGCAGCATCAATCAGATTATTTCTCTCAACATTTTCAGCTTTATTATTCTTTCCTTTGCTTCTTCCTCTCATCCTTATATCACCTTCCTTCACATCGTTGCCACTGGCACTAGTATTAATAGGCCTAGTCTTATGATTAACTTCTCCATTATCTGTGTTGTCTCCATTCTCCATCCCTCCCTTCTCAAGAGTAATTTGCGAGCCTCCCACAACCTGATCAAATAATTTGAGTTCTCTGGTTTCAGGATGCAATTTCAAACCATCAATACCCATCATTCGTCGAAATCTTGAACAATAACTCCTGAAAATTCTCCCTTCAGCCTCATCTCGCATGGTAGATGTCTTTCCATCTCTGCATAGCTCTCTTTCCTCCTGTGCAGCATGTTTCTGTTTCAATTTTTCAATTTTCAAAAGCTCTTTAGGTTGTAGGTCAACTGCTTTAGTATGAGTCAGCAAATTCACCTGAAATTAGCAATTAACATTCTTAAAGAATAAAAGAAAACCATAAAGGAAATTAAGAAGAGACTAAAATAACAAAGATGCAGATGGTCTGTAGTATGACAATTCCTCTAAATGTCAAACTCTACCATTAACTTTGAGAGATCAGGTATTTACATTGTGAAATGCAATAAATGCATGTAAAATGTACAAGTAATTAGTTCTCATAAGTAACAACATCATGATATTTTTAAAAGCACATATTTTATAAATTTTCACCACAATCTAGTAGCCTGGCTAACAATGACCAGAAACTTTTCAGGGTCAAATAACTCTAGTACTAGAAATGCATTATTCTAGCTCCAATTTAACCCTAAAACAACCAAATTTCGACAACTCCTAACTCTTGACTGCAGTAATACAATACAATTATGTGACTTTTCCTGATTCAAAAGTGCTGAGCCCTTGCCACTCAAGAGGATGTGACACAGTAACTTTATGCCTTTTGACCATCCACCTTGACTATTATTTACCAAGTCAAATGACAAAATTGGAAGTAAACCATGTGTCAACTTTTACAGATCTCTTATTAATCACCATTATTCCTCAAACTAAACTTTCAATATTAACAATTATCCTAAACACAGCATTTCTTGAAAACTTTTTGGGAAAATGTGATGTCTCAAAGTTAATCCCCAGAAAATCCATGTTGAGCCATATATCAAGTGTTTCTATAACACTAATGGGACTGATGGGGATACTACAAGCCTTAAGTTGGAAGTTTATACAACACTAAGTCTGCATTCCACAGCTAGAGACCAAGAAGAGAGAATAATTGCCACCAATACAACATTGTATACCATACCACATCAGACATATGACTGTGAAGCTTGGTAACAGAGTCTCCACGCCCAAGTTCTTCAGCAAATCCATACGCAATATATGTTTTTGGCCCCACATCTGGCTTCAAAAAATTTTTTGGAAGTTTGCCAGCAAGATTTAAATACCCACCATGTGGATGAGTATAAACCTTAAAAGGTAAGCAATTAATAAACTCAGCATTATGACGAGGTAACTGCTCCTCAAATAAACTAGATGGAGGCCAATCTTTCGACTTTAAAATCCGTGGCCATCCATAACTGTCAAAGGTACCCATGGAGTAACCTCGAAAGAACTGGTGTACATTAATATCAACCTGCAAAGTATGCAATAGAAGTACAAAAAATTTAATTAACAATCCAAATCAAAATATTATACAACTGCAATATTTACTCATTTGAACAGACTCTGGATCTCGAGATTCATTCAAGGGTCTTACTAAAGCATATTTAGATAATATCAACAAAATCTACCATTTAAAGAATGAGAACTTTCAATTGTGATGGGTTATATGAGCATTACACTTGAAGTTGGAGACATAAGTAGCATTTCAGACAGAGGGTGTCTGGCTTAGCATTCATTTATTCTGAGGTTACAATATACTACTGCACCATCAATACACAGAACATATAATACAAATTAACGACCAAAAGATCTCAAAGCATAGGAAGAGTGTTCAAAGGCATACTAAAAGATCACCCAAAGTAAAATAGAATTAATCTTCCAGAACTGAATTAAACTCAGTTAAAAAGAAACAGCTTACTAGACTATGGTTTTATGGGGAAAAGTAACTAAGTTGACCAGATAAACAATTTAAAGAACTTCCACCATTTACATCCAAAACAAATGCATAGTTAAGATCTAAATTGAAAGATCTGAAGGTCCTAATACAAGGTTTCAAACCGCATCTATATCCACGAGTACCAGCAACACACCACAGTGAAAACATACTGATAAAATCATTTGCTGCACAATAATGTGTGACAAGAAATTTAAAACATGCCCTGCCACAGGACCTTGGCATTAACCTTTAGTTTCTCCTCTTACATAGAAGCTCATTGAGCAGCAGTAATCTAGTACAACCCATATTTCATCACATTAAACTACGAATCCCCCACTGCTTGCATAAGAACCCTCAATATTCAACTTATAGCCACTGAACCCGACTTTTCTCAGACCTAAGTAACAGCTTAATACTTTCATAAACTACTGATTTATAGGAAAGATGAAAGTAGCTATCGGACAAAGGTTATTTCGCATCAGAAAAATGAACAACATTGTCATAAAAAAATACCTATACTTAAACGACTAGAAGCAAGAAATAACTTGCAAAAGGAAAGCTGTTTCAAAAGATTCAATTTATGCTGCAATTGGACAAGGCAACATCCATTTATGCTGAAATTTAATTGGGCTATTATCTGCTAAAATGGATACAAACATAAGTTTCTGAATCAAATAAGCCAAAAACAAAAAACGCATGTGTTTGTTCTGCGAAAAGGGTAGATAAGCTGACCTCACACCAATCTAAGCAACTTATAGCTTTCACATCCAACAGCACTGGATGGTTAACATTTTTAATCTGGCGAAAAGCACGCCACATCACCATTGGTTCCCAGCTCAAACCCAATGTTGTATCAAGAACATTCCTGACAATCACAGGTTCACCGTTCATCCAATGCCATTGGAAATGCTTCTGATCCTCAGGCTGGAGTTCCACAGCTTTTGGACAGTACAAAAAGTTGTCCCGAGAATCTTGACGAGAAGCTGCTTTACGCAAGTTACCACAGCTAACATTGGGTCCATCTGCAAATTGTAAACAAGAACACCACTTCTTAGAAATTGCAGGAACATCTTCAAGTTTCAATTCTTTTTTCATTTTCTCTGCTCTGACAAGCAACTCAGGAGCCTCATTCTCTGAAATCAAGCACTTCAGTTCCAAAAATCCCTTACTACAACCACCAAGTTCAGAGGGAGGGCAGGGAATGCTACCATCTTTATTGGATTTCCATTGGCTAACTAAGTCCAAATCATCCACAGAAGCATTCTCAATTTCTGCATTGCAAATATCAATTTTAGTTCGAGACTGTCTAGCACACATTCCGCTCTTAGTTGAACCCATCACAGGACACGTCTCGACGCCATGCAAGTAATCTGGCCCCGGATCAATAAATTCCACAATATTTCCCTCATCACTCCCCTGCAGACAGCCATCCCTAAGCTCTTGACAACAACGCAGACAAAGCTCATAAGCACAATTGGGGCAGCTTCTGTGAAAATCAACAATAGAAGTTTTGCAGTTGTCGCTGCACAAGACGTAACAAAACTTCATTTTCTTCACCATATGGATTAAACATGAGTAATCTGAAAAGATTGTGTTTAAAAGCCTACCAATAAATTTTCTCATGCATCTGGTGGTTTGCTCGCTCTACCTTGATCTCTAAAACTGGCAAGTCTGCAAAACAAAAATAAGTACAGTAAGTACTTTAAACATTGGCGAAATAAACATCTGTAAGGAGGTCCTCAGACACTATTATACCACCAATCTTCTGGGTGCATCAGACCAAAAGTTAGCACAAAGAAATTAGAATTAATTAAACTGCATACATATTAAACAAATATCTTACTCGCATGTCAATCCTAAAAAGATATTTCAAAAATGAAAAAATTATAACAAAGAAAAGGCACCTTTAAGGGTAGCATCTCCTTAACATGTCCATCAAATTTTTCTAGAGAGGACACTACCAGTTACGTCATGGTTCCAGAAAAACATCAAACCCTATATTACCAACTTTCAGTCGACAGCTGATTCACTTGTGTTTATTAACCAAGCATATGTTGTCAACTAGTAACATTTTTAGGACTTGGTTTAATAGATCCCAGCAGCTTTGATTTGCATCTTCTATGTCTGCTGGAACATTATGATTTGGCATTGTGTTACATGCCATGTCTACTCTCATGACTAATATGTCTCCTCCTAAGCAATGGAACTAAAAAGAGTTCAACAAAGAGGTAGGATAAAAAGTACATGGAGAACAGAATCCCAGAGCTTCTGCAAACAAAATGAGAACACCTTTAAGCTTTGCCTCTATCCTCTTCTCCATCATCTGTTCTTCATTGAACTGTTTCAGGAAAGGGAGAAGCAGTTGTAGGATGTATTTTGAGTACTCCATCTTTTCTTCAGCACTGAATTCCAATTCTAATTTCTCCTTGTGCTACATAAAACAATTGCAGTTCAGAGTATATGATCAAATACCAAAAAGGAACAACAGCTCAAAAAATACATGTATAAAGAAAACTGACTTTTATTGGCATCTCCATGCGTAAGCATGCTTTGCAGTTGCAATTCTTACGACAAACTGGACATGACTCCGCAAAAGCCTCTTTCTGAACACCAGGATACCTGCATACGAGCCCAAAAAAGATAATGACCACTGAGTTATAACCAAAAAAGAAAAGGGAAAAAAAAGGATTGCCCAGCACCCATGATAGGTAGAGCACTACTTTTCCACCCACTAGAACACAATTATTTAAGCTTACACATGACAGTCCAGCCACACAAAATTCCCAATTCCAGCTAAATTTGCTAAATACCAATTTCAACAAGCTAGACAAGTACTCAGAGGAAGCATAGCTACTTTGCTTCAGAGCAAGATAGGTATTTACATGAACAATAGACAAAATATCAACTTTCTAAAGGCGCCATATCCTAGCAGCTAAAAATATCTTAAATAATACTACATCAAAATGGAAAAACATAAGAACTTTGAAATGGTTTGTCTTGAACTACTATTTCGTACCAAGTATGTATGCAGGGGAGACAATATCGCTTCGTCTTACACATGGTACAGCGAATAACCTTTCCTCTGTCATTTCTCTGGCACTGATGACACATATTGGACTCAATTAAAATACCCTGCCACATCCAAATTCAAATTAAAAACTTTCCTCATAACGAATTGAATCACAAAAAACCAAAAAGTTTCAGATGATGCAAACATCTTACATTATCATCCTTGAGCATTCTGTTTAGTTTTGGGCCGCCACCTCTATCTCCTCCTCCTAGCTGGGTTTTACGCCGCCTTTTACCTCTGTTTTGCTCTTCAGTTTCTCCCTGCTCCTTTTCCGCTTCCCCAATAAATTCACCACCACTCCCACCTTTCTCCTCTTCTTCTTTCTCCGGTACATCTTTAGATGGCTTTCTCCATCGCCTTCTCTTCATATTTTCTTCATCGACTTCTTCTTCTCTGCTTCATGCATTACGAGGCATTGCGATATAGCTAGTACACGACAGTAAAGTGCTCTTAGTTTTAGGAAAAAGTTATTTGCGCTCCACTTTTTATTAAGGGTTAATCACCATTTATCCCCTTAAAAATATCTCATTTTTCAATTTACCGTCTAACCTTTAATTTTACTCACTTAATCCGCTTTAGGACAAAACTGCCCTTGCATTATTTTAACTTTTCATTTACCTTGTTTTCCTTTCATTTATTTCTTTTTCTCTTTCTTCTTTATTTAATTCTTCCTCTTTCCCACAAAAATCTTCACCTTAATAATTAAAATTGAAAAAAGAGGAATTGGAGATATCTATCTTCTCCTTAAATGATTAAAAAATATTCAAATCACTTTCCTAAAATATAATTTTTTTACCCTTTCAATTCTTTTAATTTTGGGTTTTCCTCTTTCCTTTCTAGTTTCTCATTTTATTCTCAAGAAAATATCATAAGATGAAATTATTTTCCTTTCTTTTATTTCTTTTTCTCTTTCTTCTCTCTTTCATCCTTCCCAATAGAAATTTCATTTCAACAAAAATTTTTGTTTTGAATTTGTAATTGCATATTTCTGGGTGACACGTGGCATCAAAAACTAATTTTTTTTTTGTATGATGCCACGTGTCACAAATTTCAATTGATGATTATTAATCAGGTCACAATTTTATCTTAAAATATGTTTTTGGGAATAAAATGAGAAACTAGAAAAGAAAGAGGAAAACCCAAAATTAAAAGAATTGAAAGGCTAAAAAAATTGTATTTTAGGAAAGTGATTTGAATATTTTTTTAATCATTTAAGGAGAAGATAGATCTCTGCAATTCCTCTTTTTTAATTTCAATCATTAAAGTGAAGATTTTTGTGGGAAAGAAAAAGAATTAAATAAAGAAGAAAGAGAAAAAGAAATAAAAGAAAGGAAAACAAGGTAAATGAAAATTCAAAATAATGCAAGGGCAATTTTGTTCTAAAGGGGGTTAAATGAGCAAAATTAAAGGTTAGGGGGTAAATTGAGAAATGAGGTATTTTTTAATGGGATAAAATGTGATTAACCCTTTTATTAATGGCATTCCTATAATTTATTTTACCATATAATCTAATAAATGAAAATTATAGGATAAAAATGATAGTGAGGATAACTAATAAAAAAAATAGAATGCAATTAGTGAAAGTGTGATTAACAAAAAATAGTGTAATTAACATTTTCTCACTTTTATTAACATATGTACTTGAGATTAAGATTGTCTTAGTTCAGCACATGTATTCAAACGTTAACATGTTTAGAAGTATTTAAGGTGAATTTCTCAGAATAATGTTGATATACAAAAACATCACAAATGTTAATGTTTTGTAGGATTTGTGTCTGAAATAAGGGTTGTTGTAGCTACTAATATCGGCACACAAAAAATTCGATTTATTTTTGAAATTTTTTTCAACAGCTTAAGAATTTTTTAAACTAAGATTTTTGGTTGAATGTTTTATTTTAATCGCAGATGGACTGTTGATCAACATTTGATCAACGGTCGTGATTTGAAGGTGCAGAAAATAAATTTTTAATTCTATTGCCACACAGAAAAATTATGGCAAATGACTTATTTTTAAAAGCCGCACATTAAATTTGTGGTGAAATTTGTGGATCGTTAATCCATTTGATCAATGGCTGGAAAATCACTGCAGATTCAATATGCAGCAATCTAAATTTTTTTTTCGAAACCACACATCTAATGTGCAGGAATTTGAATTTTTTTTTTGAAACTGCACTTCTGATGTGCGGCAATAGCTCTTGACCATTGATCATGAGTTGATGACCTTTTTTTTCCTTCACCGCAAATTAAATTTGCTGCAGAGGAATTTTGTTTTTTTTTTAAATGCCGTAGCTCTGGACTGTTAATGCAAGCGATCAACGGTGTCAACTTTAGTCAAAAACAATTTTCTAGTCAAAGTAGCAATACAACCGAAGCTTAAGCTCCTATCGATAGTTTTGCTATAAAACTAACTCAACTTCAACTAGTATTCTCACTCGGACAATCCCAACTTCAGTTTTAGCTTAAAACTTGTGCCTATTTCCCTCTCGCACAACCCCAAATCCCCCCATCTTCTTCGTTGTCTTCTCAAACGAGTGGCGTCGGCAAGGATAGTCTCCGAAGCAAATTTGGTAGCAAAGTGTATTTGCAAAGCCACTGTGACGACCCCACTATACCCTAAGACAAACCAAAGAGTTAAGCGAATCGTCTGCCTGACTCTCGTCAAGACTCACTCATTTACTCATATTAATTTCAAAGATAACATTTCACTAACTAAAGCCATTAGCAGTCCATCACACTCGGATACATATCAAAACAAAAGAAAAGTTGTCGTAACCCATAACAATTAATATGTACAACCCTCAAAGATAACAAAGTTGGCAAAACCATAACCTTATATACAAAGGGATTTATCCAAGTACAATTCAAGTTTCAGGCTTAAATTTCAGGCTAATCTCTACACCTGTTCTTCACTCTTGTAAGGAAAACAAACTAATAGGTTGAATGAAACCCAGTGAGGTTCCACACAAGCAACAATCAATTAAACACTTAAACAAATAGTAAAATTAAACAAAGAGGAAACACTTCACTGAGTAATCACTGTTAAAAGAATACAACGCTCGTATTAGAGCCATTTCAATGCACTACACACTCTGCCGTACCTCCCCTTATAACCTCCAAACAATAAACACTTCCCTTACTTAGATGGCCATATCAGTATTCTACTACTCTGTGGTAATACTCGAGCATACCGAAACACTTACCCAAAGCTACCATCCTATCCGACGAAGCCCTTTGTTGGCTCAAATAGTCCATTGAATAGAGGATTTTAGGGCCCAATTCAGTCGGTGTGGTAAAGTACACACACAGTTTATAGTCATGCACACTTACAGTAACACTTGGTCAATTATCAACCTTTAAACTCAAACTAAGTTGGGTGTGATAAAGTACACCCCCGATTTAGAAGACTAGGGACAATTGAAAACTTCACAATACACTTTACAATGAATCACTAGTAATATTTCCATAGTAAACAATTTATCACATAACATCACTTAAGAAACACAAACAATTAACACATAAATACGGAAATATGTAGGCAATTTAAACACACCAATGTGGCAACACTCACCTAAAATATTTTGAGTTCATACCTCGGTACTTGGATTCTCCGCCAAAACTCCCTCGGCTTCTGAGATATTTATAGACTTATTAATTCCCCAAATGATAAAGTTAAGCTCACATGATTATTTCAACTAAAGTATTTATATATATATGTGTATATATATAATTCAAGATGTTTAAGGTGATTATATGGCAATAAAAGTTGGGATTTAGGTTCTGAGGATCATTTAGAATTGAGGTGTAAAGTAAGTTTTCTAGGATTTGGTAGTTTAGGGATCCTATGAATTTCCTTGATTTTACCCTAGATTTTTGGATGACTTTTATAGGTAAGACTTTTATAAGGTAACTTAGAGGAGTTTGATCAGTTTTGGTTCATTTCTACCTTAGAAATTTAAAATTAAAAGCTAGAATCGAAGTACTAAGTTAGGATTGTTCATGTTCCATGTTTTTGGTCCAAAGTTCACTATTTCCTTGGTTCAAACCTCCTAAAATCCAACCTGCATTTTATCATTATACCTAATAGGTTGTTCTCAATTCCAAGTTTGGTCAAAATTTCTAGAGAAGTTTAGAAATTAGCTTGGAATCCTCAACCATTCCAATCGGCTCAAAAGGATCTAGCAAGCTGACCAACTCAGGTTTTCTTTTCTCAAACTCAATGTTTCTTGTTCTAGTCAAGGTAAACGTAACATTTTGAACAAAATAGAGGATTATAGAGTATTCTTGACCAATATTTGCACAATTTTAGTTCATATAATAGAAATCAACTGGAAAGAAAGACAACCACTCCCTTGGCTTAAAATCAGCTAAGTCAGCCATGTAGTTTAGTCATTACAGCCCCATTACGTGAGCTTTCACAAGGAAAATAAGCATGCAACACGAAACAAAGGCTATACTAAACATATATCAAGAATTTCCTAGCTAATCTCTTGGAATTTCGGATAAAAGGTTACTAAATCAAATTTTCTTTCCTCTTGACCAAGCTGGATATTCCAGCAAGAATTCAACCATAAAACTTAAATTTTCACCATAAAACTCACATGCATCAGCCTATAAACTGTATACAGGGCCTAAAACATGAATTCCAGTTACAATCTCCCAAAGTTTTCAAAGAACATGACCAAAGTTGTAGCATTTTTTTCCTCTAGATTTGCTGTTTTGGAATTCCAGTTTTGGTGTTGCTGTACAAGTTCATCTTTTCTTGCTTTAACACTTCAAATATCACATGCATGACCAGATTATAGCCACTAGTGTTGCTTAAAATAAATCCTAACTAGGATCAACAAAAACTCTTAGCAAGAGCCTGAAATTTTCCAGCTTTAACACATTAGCAGTCACACTTCATCCTATCAAGAATTCTAGCAAGAGTTTCTTTACAATCTATTCTTATCAGGCTTCATTTTAAGTTATAAGCTGCATGCATGTCAAAATGTGTAAGCTAGAGAGTATATATAAGACATGCAAACATAATTTTAAGAGGTTTTTGAAGAAAACAACTAGGAATTTGCAGCTTAGTTCATCGGGTATCCTGTAGCAGCTTTACATGAAATTTTCCAGATTTGTTGAACTTTGTTTCCCGGGAATTTTCTTCTTTTCTTGGTTCTAACTCAGCCTAAGAGACTGCTAACTAAAAACAAAAGAAAATGGAAAGAAATTCAGTAGATTACCTCTGGTTCTTAATGGCTTTAAGCTAGGAAAAGTTTCCGATCTCTCTCTCCACGATTCTTAGCTAGATAGGCTAAATTCTTTCTTGATTCCTAGCTGGTTCTCATGGTGGAAGAAAGGTAAGAAATGGTTTCCTAGTTGCTTTGGTTTTTCTCTCCTTTTCCTCTTGATGGTCTCTCGGGTAACTAAGCTAAGAAAGGGGAAAACTAAGCCAACTTTTACCTA